AAAGTACTCGACCGATTGTTGTGAAATTTTGTATTTATATTAAGAATATCATGTAGATGGTAAAACGCCAACCAAAATTTGTCTAATCATCCCCACCACTAATGCGATGACGTCACTTCAAAATTGTACATAGGTAAATGGGTTTTCAATTGTATAAAATAACATAGTCCTACACATGTAGTTTACAACTCTGAATCGACTTTTCACCAGAAACGTCCAGATTTTTGAAAAAAAAATCAAAATTATAAAACAACATTTTGAAATTTAATTTTTAATCTGCTAACCAGAATGCTTTGAAATGTTGCAGATGTTTTAAGGCTATAAAGAGCATCATAAATCTTTAGTCAAAAAATATTTGCTTATCCCCTCCAAAAACTTGATGACGTCAGCTCAAAAGTTTGTGGAATAAATCATATCTAAAATGTACAAAATATGATGGGTCTGTACTTGTGATCTATCACTCCATTCATATTTTTTGGATTTGCATATACAGGGTGACTCAAAAAAATTAATGAATGCGTAAATATATTTTATTGATTTAATCAGGAACTACAAAACCGAATGCTCTGAAATCTTGCAGATGTTTTAAGGTCATAAAGAGCATAATAAATGTTTAGTCAAAATATATTTGCTTATCCCCTCCAAAAAAATGATGACGTCAGCTCGAAAGTTTGCCGAATAAATCATATCTAAAATGTACAAAATATGATGAGGCTGTACTTGTCATTTATCACTCCATTCATATTTTTTGGATTTGCATATACAGAGTGACTCAAAAAAATTAATGAATGCGTAAATACATTTTATTGATTTAATCAGGAACTACAAAACGGAATGCTCTGACATCTTGCAGATGTTTTAAGGTTATAAAGAGCATAATAAATGTTTAGTCAAAATATATTTGCTTATCCCCTCCAAAAACTTGATGACGTCAGCTCGAAAATTTGCCGAATAAATCATATCTAAAATGTACAAAATATGATCAGTCTGTACTTGTGATCTATCACTCCATTCATATTTTTTGGATTTGCATATACAGGGTGATTCAAGAAAATAAATGAAAGCGTAAATTTATTTTACTGATTTACTCAGGAACTACAAAACCGAATGCTTCGAAATCTTGAAGATATTTTAAAATTATCATAAGCATGGTAAATTTTTGATCAAAACGCATTTGGTCGTCCCCCCTAAAAAATTTATGATGTCACCACAAAATTTTGCTGAAAAAATCCTATCTAAAATGTACAAAATATGGTGAGTCTCTTCTTGTGATTTATCATTCCATTCAAATTTTTTCGATTTGCATATACAGGGTGACTCAAAAAAATTAATGAATGCGTAAATTTATTTTATTGATTTAATCAGGAACTACAAAACCGAATGCTTTGAAATCTTGCAGATGTTTTAAGGTTATAAAGAGCATAATAAATTTTTAGTCAAAATGTATTTGGTTATCTTCTACAAAAAACTGATGACGTCAGCTCAAAAGTTTGCCGAATAAATCCTATCTAAAATGCAAAAAATATGATGAGTTTGTACTTGTGATTTATCATTCCATTCATATTTTTTAGATTTTCTTAAGAGGTGGTTCAAAAAAAATTAATGAAGTCAATTTATTTTATTGATTAAATTAAAGGCAACACTTATTATTAGTATTACACCCCAACCAACCCAATTTGGTAGACACAAAATTTGTTAAAGGAAAAACTCGGTTGAAACATAAGGGTAGCACGCTTATTTACATCGACTTTAACATTACAGACCTGCATTTGTTCACTTGGTTCCGCGAATGTGAAATAGACATGTTTATAATCAACCAATTTTGAATTTCACCGTCAAGAATTAAAATAAAACCCAATGTTTTATATAATAAGCGGAAGTCGAAGCAATAAAACCGATGGTCGTTTTGTTTACAGTTTCTCTGTTTGGCTCTCACGTATGCTGTTACGCTTGTCATCTTAAATTAAGAATGTTTATACATAAACGATTTTCAGTTGCCGTATACGTGAGTAAATTGTTTCGTTATTTTATTGATTATAAAAAATCAATATTCAAAACGACCCAATTCATTTTCCCGAAAATTTGCGAATACAATAATTTTATTCTTAGTATTACACTACATCTATCCCAACTGATGTCCGTGTCCTTGCAAAAATGTTGATGACGTCATCGCAATTTTAAATCCCCACTACAAAAATGTAATGAGAAAAAAACACAATAGCCATGCAGTCGTCAAGTTTCCGACAGCGAGGGAAGTACTGTCTAAACTCTTTAGACCAATTTTTCCTCTTATTGACAATGTTAAAAATTTCTGTGGCAGTTTTTACAACTTCGTAGTATTCTCAAAATTTAAAATTCTTGGAGACACTTTTCATCCATCCAAGAAACGGCTGCTGTCATGTTTTTTCGACGTTTCATGACCCCTAGAGTATGAAAAAAAGTCTTCCGTTTCCGTTTGTCTGTCATCTGTCTGTCGCTTGTGTCGATTTTTATTAGACAGTTAATCTTCGAAACTACTGGACCGATTGTTGTTAAACTTTGTAGTTATTTTAGAAATATCGTATAGGTGATAAACTGCTAACCAAAATTTATGTACCTAATTATCCCTACCAACTATTTGATGACGTCACCTCAAAATTTTGCATTATCAATGACATTTAAATTTTATACATTAACACAAAAAAAAAATTCAAATTATGTTAATATTTTTTAACGTATAGGGGTTATCATTAAAAAAATCAAATTTCACAGTTTTTCGAAACAGCTGATTTTGTTGAACTGCACTTCAGGAGCGAGAGAAGTTCTGTCTAAATAACACCTACTACACCATTTTTTCCCTTTAAAGTTAAATATTTTAAGTGAAGTGACGTCTACAGAATAATGAATTCTTGAACTTTGACGAATATCTTAACTATTTTTATTTGATGTATGTATATGTGTGTTTATAAAAGATTTAAATTGTTGATTTAAAAAAAGTTTGGTTATGATTTACGTTTGTGACAAGTGACGAGTTAGCCATCACAACAAGGTGGCAAAATTTGTGACATATCAAAACTGACTTAGTGTACGATTTTTGTAATCGCCTTGTATATCTCTTATTTTATTTTCGACGTTGTTCAACCAATAAAGATTATTATCGTCGCCTGCGTTGATAGTTGGGTTGATAAATCCCGCCGAAAAGCCACTTTTGACAGCTAACCCAGTAGTTACTTTCGAGGCCATTTTCCTTATGAGGGCGCTAGTTATCATTGGATGACAGTTCAAATTTGAATTTGATCCAATTGTTGTATACCATCCTGTTTAAACAGTCATACAAATTTGACCTACCACTGTGTGTATGTATTTTGCAATTACGCTCCGCCCCTCGGTCTAACGACGAATGAAAATTTCATCATGATTGAGATCGGGACGGATGGGTCGTGCTTAATCTTTGTTTTTTTTTCTCTTCTCAATATAGATGTATGTATGGTTTTTTGTGAACGACGCAATAGTTAAGCATGTTTTCAGTTTCTTGTTAGGAAAAGAAAACGCATATTAAGAAAAAATATACAAAATATAAGCCCCATCCACCCACCCCCTCTCAATTGTGATGATTTTTTTATTCATATTGAGCCGAGGGCGGAGCTTAGTTGCAAAAACCTCATTTCTGTACAAGCAATTACCATGTGAAATATGTTCTTGAAAGAGGAAAATTTTCCAAAGAAATATGGATTTTGCACTTCAACTCCTCCGCTGGGTCTGCCAACGAATAAAAAAAATTATTACAACTGAGATCGGGTGGGTGGGTGGGGCTAATATTTTGCCCTTTCTTCTTAATATACGTCGTCTTCTTTTCACAACAAGAAACTTAAACATGTTCAAAATTTTTGTAGGAAATATGTACTTTTACAATTATGCTCCGCCCCTCCGTCTGAAAATGAATAAAAAAATCATCACAATTGAGATCGGGACTTTTTTTAGTTATATAGAGTTTTATTTGAACAACACGGTAGTTAAATGAATTTTCAGTTTCTTATTAGGAAAAGATTTCGTATATTAAAAAAACGTACAAAATATAAGCCCCGTCCACCCCCCCCCTCTCAATTGTGATGATTTTTTTATTCATCGTGAGCCAAGCTGCAAAAACCTCATTTCTCTACAAGAAATTACCATGTGAAATATGTTCTTGAGAGAGGAAAATTTTGCAGGAAAATATGCATTTTGCAATTAAACTCTTTTCACGACAAGAAACTTAAAACATGTTCAAAATTATATGTGCCTGAAACGAGTGGATTAAATTAGTTCGTGCACCCGGCGCCTTCACCAAATATGTTGAAAAATCGTAATTTCTGTAGAGATGTTTTTGGTATTGTTCTTTTAATTGTTTATATTTATTGTTTGTATTACTTTTACAGTTTCGATAAATATTTATAAATAACGTAAATAATTATTTGTGCAAAATAATATTCATTTTGGGACTTGGTAATGAAGTTTTTTGTACGAGGTTTAATCAAGTTAAAAAAATATTTGAGACCCGCTACAACATTTCATGGTCAATCTACGCACAAAATTTTTTCTATTAGCTATTTATTTAAAAATTTTAACAAACCATTTTTCAGCTGTTAAAAATTAAATTAACCTCTTCAATCATTTAGGACATTTTTGACATGCATGTGACGTGCACGTGACGAGTGTTTTAATGCATACCAACGTGGATCAATAAGGGTTGTTAATTTTTCGAATGTTGACATAATCCTTATAAAACAATGTCCCTTTTCAGTGTTGCCAATTCTCAAAGTAAAACTATTTTCACCACACCAAAAAAAATCTAATTTCTAATATAAATCTAATAACAAGTTAATAGCGTCCACGATTTAAATTAATCCAAAAATAACACTTAAAAAAAATCACTAATAAGTTGGCAATTCAGCGTGTTCCACTTCACAATTTCTATCAGTTCTATCTACTATCCACGAGATGCCAGCACCAGACACACGTCAAGGTTTTCTGTAAGTGACATTTGACATTTATCAATAATTTATTTTGACAAAAACCTAACCAAGATATTTTTTACACATAACATGTAAATACTACGATGCTTACATTACGTTTCGTTTTAAGAAGACACATTACCTACAAATAGACGCAGAATTGTTTAATAATGTAAATTCTACCTGGGTCCTAAATTATTAATTTAAAAAAAATCCTTTACAGTGTATAGAATGAATCATTGATAATAGCCCTGATGGAGCGACACGCCGAACTTGGAGAACCATCGATGAAAAACAGACGGAAATGCTCTCCTCAACTCAACGACAACTCCTGTCAGATTATGGTAGAAATTAATTTTTTTGTATGTGTGACTACAGAATTAACATTTTAGGTGGACAACTCAGAGAATGTGTTAAATATTTTAAGAAATCTCTATGTTGAGAGACAGATGTGTGATGTCTCTTTGTTGGTGGGGAACAGGGAACATCACGCCCATCGGCTTATACTATGTGCTTTTAGTGATGTGTTCCAGGTATTACACAATTGACATTTTTTAATATTACTGAAATGTGTCACGTTTCAGGCGATGTTAATGAAGCCTGAATGGTGTGAGTGGCATGAAAGTAAAGTAGAGCTGCAAGAACTGCTACCTGAATGTGAAAAAGTGTTCCATTTATTCTTAGAATATTTTTACACTGGAAAAATTCTAATCACTCATACTAATGTGATGCCAATATTAGCTTTAGCTGATAAATATATTGTTAAGGTAGACTGGAATGTAGGATCATGAAGGCCAACTTTATTTTATATTTTAGGGGTTATCAAGACTGTGTGTACAATACATGTGTAAACATGTTCCTCATGCTGCTTCACATAACCAGTTGTTTCTCTGGCTGCAATATTCCATTCCTTGTGGGCATGTAGAAGTAGCGGAAAAATGCCAAAACTACATTAAATGGAACCTAGAATCAATAGCCAACACTCCAGATTTTAGTAACATAGATGCAGAAATGCTGGTACGCCTTCTCCAAGAGAACGACGTCATAGTTTATAACGAAATGGTTTTATACAACTGTGTGGTCCGGTGGTTAGACTTGCAAAAAATCAGGTTGAGAAATTGTGATACCCCTTTCGGAGAACTCGAAGAACAAGTAAGATACTTAGTAAAAAATGTGATGGTTTATATTAGGTTTCCAATGATGACGCCGCGTGAGCTTGCTGATTTACTATTGTCGCCTTTAATACAGCAACACAAAGAGTTTTTCGTCGACCGGATGACAATTGGCATGACATACCACTCAGGCCAAAGAGACCAAATTGAAAAAATCAGTAGCACACAAGAGGGAAAATTATTGTTCACTCCTCGTTTGTACACATCTGACATTTACAGCGCCGTTTTAGTCATTGAGAATTTCAATAGTCTACCGAGTTACCACACAAGTACCTTTGTATTCTCGTCACATATGTCAGCTGCAGATTGCGAATCGGATAAAATAAACGATTGGGTCGTTGACCTATATCCTAAAGGGGTTTGGTTTAAAAAGTGCTACTTAATTGTGTGGCAAGGGACTCTCGAAGTCCCTGAAGAAATTATTTCAACAGTTAGGTTATCCTTGACTTGTCGCAAGCTTTTCGAAGCGAAGATCAAAGTCAAGGTTGCTGTGTTAATCTACGGGATACAAGGAGGAGTCGAACACGTCATGGAGGTTAAGGAGAAAATTCATCATTTTACGAACGAAGATAAAGTTATGAATATCGATAATTTGATCCCGTTTGCTGAACTCAATCCTAGTGCTTCAAATCATGCTCACGAGAGTCCGTATCTGATTGGGCCTAACAGGAACCAACTCAAGCTTAACGTTGTTATAACGTCTTTGCATTCTTGACAGCCAAACTTATTTTTATAGATTTGTATCTATCGACTGTTACTCAAAAAACAATAATTTTATTATTATTATAATTATTATTACAATTTGAATATAATATTTTGTTGTATACGGTGATTTATTTTGGCCCTTGAGGTGTTTGTTGATGGTGGGGAAAAATGTGACATTTGTAGTTTTTACGGAACAGAGTGACCAAAGTTCGGCGCATGCGCAAAATGTAATCCAAAGCCTGGAATTAGCCAATAACACGTGACGTCATGTTGTGGCGGGAACTCAGCGTTTGACAAGCGCCGTGAAACTCCATAAGCGACAATGTTAACATTTTCGCATTTTATTTAAAAGTGTGGATATTTATTTAGAAAATAAACACGTGAATAGCTTCTTTCATATCTTTTCTGTGTATCAGGGTGCTTTTTTTGGCGATTTGAGTTTAGAAATACATAATAAAAATAAAAATACAGAACACTGTTTTGGTCTGAATTCCTCGTCATCCAAAATACATCCGTGTGTTTTAAGCGGAAAATTGGAAATTAATATTTTCGTTTGAGGTTACTGTGACGGGTTTAAGTGAAGGTGTGTGATTTGTTTTTAAAGTATGGATAATTTAAGTGATTATGTACCATGTCTTTCCGTCGAAGACAAAAACAGATCTGTACAAAAATTAAACAATTTAAACGGCGTAGATCCTTATACAATGAGTGCAAGTGATTTTAGTTTGTGTTTAGACGATGTCCCTACCATAACAATGAATACCATTCTAAACTTTTTTATTTTTAGAGTAAGTAAAATAACCCACAATAAAACTCGTGGCTTGAAAAGTCTAGAGACATTTATTCAATTTTCTTTTTTTAAACAACAACTGTGTCTTTCAACATTACAAGTATTATGAGTGGATTTATTTTGATATCCTAAATTTTGTGATGGAACATAATCAGGATGGTCCACATCCGACAAATCTGCAGGTTTACCTAAAAGAGCACCAATGTAGTAATTTGTTAGAAACTGTAAATCTAATAGGTAGGTACTGTACCTAAAATAAAATGATCCGAACAAACATAGGAATACTTTACTTTGGCTTCGTTAAATCCACTCGTTTCAAGGCTTTTAACCAAAGCTTCCGCCTTTTTCCCCATTCTGTATATATTTACCATTATTGTTGTTAATTGCTGCGAAAGGAATATAAAATTTGTCCGCATTTCTGGTGCTTCGATTTGCGCAACCCACAACAGCACAAAATTTAGGCATTTTCTCCTAAAATACAAAATATTATACTATTAAGATGCTAGTGTATTTAAAAAACACTGATGTACATTAACAAAGAATTAATTTGCAAAACAAATAATATAAGATGCAGCGAAGTTAACCTATACATCACATTGGAAAACACACTCTAGAAACTGTAACAAACTTACCAAACTATAAAAACACAGTTGACACACTCTCAAATTTAAATGAATTCCGAAAATATTAGCATTGACTCTTATGAGAAAACCGGCTAGTTGTCAAACGCTGCCATCTTGATGACCTCGGATGACGTCAGTGTATTTGGCTAATTATATGCAGAAAAAAAAAAACACGTAAATATGCGCATATATGCAGAGAAATTTTTAATAAAACTAAGTATATATTAAATATATATTTATATTATAATTAGTGGATCAACTTATTTCCAACCACGCCTACAAAGAGAAAATAAAAACTGTCAATGATTTTGATTTAAAAAGTCTGGATATCTTGTGAAATGAGCAATTCGAAGTGAAATTCGAATTTTTTGAAAAATGGTAGGAGTTGTCGAAAAAATGAAGCCGAAAGTAACTTCTGGATATCGAAATCTACAAGAAAATGTCTTTGGTTAATTTTCAAAATTATCGAAAATTGGCCAAAATTTTCCTAGAGAAAGGTACTGAAAAATTTTGCTTTTGAAAAAGTTGGCAAAAAATTTAGGATATAGATTTCAACGTGCCTATTCTAAAAATAGAAAGTGCTTATGGTTTTCCATACAGATTTCAGAAATATATCTGTCGAAATCGAATTTTTTGAAAAAATTCAGAAATTGTCATCATTTAATCGATGGTTTGGAAAAATAGGAGTTATCGGAGCTACAAGTAACTTCTGGAGGTCGAAATCTACAAGAAAATGTCTTTGGTTAACTTTCGAGAATGGTCGAAAATAGGCCGAGTTTTTCCTTGGGTTGGTTTTGAAAATTTTGCTTTCGAAATGGTTTCCAAAAAATTACTAATACATTCTAGGATATCGACTTCGACGTGCTGATTCTAAAAATATGGCGTGTCTATGATTTCGGATAAAGGGTTTAGAAATATTTCGAATGAAATCGAATTTTTTGAAAAAAATCCAAAAATTGCCATATTTCAATCGGCGAGTCTGAAAAAATGGTAGAGGAGGCTAGGAGTTGTCGAAGAAATGAAGCCGAAAGTAACTTCTGAAAATCGAAATCTACAAGAAAATGTCTTTAATTGATGTTCAAAATGATGACCAAAATTTTCCTAGAGGAAGGTACTGAAAAATTTTACTTTTGAAAGAGTTGCCAAAAAAATTAGGATATAGATTTCAACGTGCTTATTTTAAAAATATGTAGAGCGTGCTTATGGTTTCCAGTAAAGATTTTAGAAATATTTCTGTCGTAATCAAATTTTTTGAAAATAAAATTGTCATATTTCAATCGATGATTTGGAAAAATGGTAGGAGTTACCGGAGAAATGTAGGCAAAAGTAACTTCTGGAGGCCGAAATCTGCAAGAAAATGTCTTAGTTAATTTTCGAGAATGGTCGAGAATTAGCCAAAATTTTTCCTTGCGTTGGTATTGAAAATTTTGCTTTTGAAAATGTTTCAAAAAAATGTAGGATATAAATTTCGACGTGCTTATTCTAAAAAGAGAGCTTTTATGGCTTCCCATAAAGATTTTAGAAATATAGTTTTTAATATACATAGTATTTTTTGAACAATACGATACTCCTTGTAGATTCCTTGTAGAGAAATAAATTGCAATTAAGCTCCGCCCTCTTGACTCACGACGAATAAAAAAAATAATCACAATTGAGACATGGCGGGTGGGTGGGGCTTACATCTTTCCTTTTTTTCTTAATATACATAGACGTCTTTTCACAACAAAAATTTAAAACAGAAATTGCAAACATTGTGGAAAATTTAATTTTTTAAAAAGACGTCTAAAAATTCTCAAAAAATTCAGGAATACAGATCCCGAGGTGTTAATTCTGAAAATATAGCGTGTTTATCCTAACGAAGCAATACATATTTTCCGAAAATTCGGTGTGAAATTCGGATTTTTTGAAATTTTTAAAAATTGCGATATTTCAAAAGGCGATTCTGGGAAAACCGTTGGTGTTATCGAAGCAATGAGGCCGGGAGTTACTTCTGCGGCTCAAAATATACAAGAAAATGTATTTAATTAAATTTCGAAAATCGTCGAAAATAGGTCGAAATTTGCATAAGAGGCATTATCTAGTGATCTTTTCACATCAAAAATTTAAAACAGATGACTACGTTTATTAAGAAAAAAATGCATAATCAAGTATTTGTTGTGCATTGTTATTAATAAAACAAGTTATAATTTTTCATTAATAAATAGACCAAAAAAAAACAAAAAAAAACATTAATTATATTAAGACATTTTTATTTATTCTTCCACTGACAAAGAAAAAAAATGACTTGGAATGAAATCAAATTAAACGTTCTTAAATATTTGAATATCACAAAATTAATAAAAACAAAGCAAAATCTGAAGTAAAGTAACTGGATGCAAATACACAAGTTATTACAAACGTATGGCTGCAAATTTAAAATTATGGCAGTCAACAAGAGAACAAAATTTTAATAAACAAACTATGCAGCGGTAGCGATACCAGAGCACTATAAGAGTGTGACGATCGAACTATGTCAATTTCATTCCAGAGCACAGCAAATATACCCATAATGGTCGTTGTAACGCGAGCGGAGTTTGAGGCTCCCGGTCGTGGCTGTTCCCCTACCCACGACGATAATTCTATCTATCGCAAGCACTGTCGCCCAACACCCCAAGAGTGCCTAGACGTACAGGCCGTTACAGTCGCAAACTCGCAAGCCGACAGCGTTACGTCATCTCGACCGCCCCAAAATTTTATTCTAGCCTGCATCTTTTGTGCAGATGGCGCGATAAATCTCGCCAGCTCGACTAGGAACCGCGCACTCGGCTTCTGCCACGTATTTCGGTGTTATTTAACCTCAATTCCATTTAAATGTTCAATTTAAATAATACAACAAAGAAAATTACTGAAGTTAAAATTGCGAGATAGAGAAAAATTGTATGCAAAGCTAACAAATTTACATAGAATTAATATTTGCCACACTTTATCAACGATTCAAACAAAGAATTTATATGATGTTACATTATGCCATGATCCAAGTGATCGGTTACTTAAAACAATTTGTTTTGAGGGCTTATATATCGTGCAGTTTGCCCAAAATAAAACACACAATAAATAAACACAAAATGCGTCCTGCGTTGCGAAGGAAATGCGTCTCGGTGATGATGATAACGATGATAACTGTCTAAAGAGAGAAATCTTTAATCCCCCCGTCAGTTCACGATATTATGAAATTTGCTGCACTTTTCTACGGTCTTTTTCCAACGTCAGGTTAATGCCGTAACTGAATTATTAGCAATCTTGTGTGAAAAATTAAAAAGTGTTAGAATGTAACACTTAAGTATTAGCATCCAGAAACGTTATTCGTAACTTTGTGAACAAAGGTGAATTTCATGACATCTCCTAGCCAGTGATTTATCTAAATAAATTTAATGCCTGTTAAATTGTGTTAAAACCAGTTAACGATTAAACTCATAACATGAACTGTGAATTTACAAACAATGCAGCAGATTTACAACGTCTGTCGAAAATTCGCATTTTTCGGTTAGAAAGCCGCAAGGATTAGCTGCTCGTGTTGGGGAAACTGTGGCGTCGCCATTGTTACGATTAATTGTCGTTAAACAAAGGTTTCCTCCCTTTTTATCAACAACCAAACCAAGAGTGACGCCTTTCACCTTCCTCTACTAAGCGACCATCTTTTCTACCAACCATCGCTCAAACTAAAATTCCCTAGCAGAACGGTCAGCTACCCAAAAAGCGTTAACGTGCACATGGTTGCCAAAATCATTTTTATCTTTGCAGCAACTAGCTAGGATAAGACTGATTTTGGCAAATGACCTTCTAAGAAAAGAGAGGGTGGGTGGGCGGGTTTAGTAACTGCTAAGATAAGACTGATTTTGGCAGATGAGATGCTCTCAAGGAAAAGAGAGGGCGGGTGGGCGGGGCTAGTACCTGCTAAGAAAAAACTGATTTTGGCAGACGCCATATCCTCTAAGAAAAGAGAGGGTGGGTGGGCGGGGCTAGTAGCTGTTAAGATAAGAACGACTTTGGTATAACTTTTATTTACACTTATTTTCCGGAGAGTGCTCTCGTCTGGAATGGTCCTTTTACAGTATTTTTCCAAAAATGAATTAAATATAGGATTAGTTAACTTATTTAATGGAATATTCGAGGCAAGCATGGCCTGGTATAAATCGAACTTGAATGTTTCCTCTTCATTTTTAGCTGTATTAGCAGATAAAGCTTCTAGTATTGATGTTTGAGTTTCTTTTTTCACAATTTCTTTTGTGAAGAGGCGTTCTGCAGTGTTGTGCTCGAAATCTATAAAAAAAATTAAAAACAAATATAGTGAACCAAGAGTTATAAGGTTATATGGCCATCATAAAATCATCCCATTGTGTTGAAGTTAAGTTGTTTACAATAGAAAAGGTTTTAGGGTCGTAAATAACGTGTCCACTGCAGCTCGACCGGCTCTTGTGGTTTTGTTCAGGGGCGGCTTTCACTAAATATGAAAATCCACCACTCCACTATTTCTGTACTACCTACAGCCGCTGAGGGTTCCGAAATAACCACTCGCTTTGAAAGCCGGACCTGTTAAATATGAGCAAGAAATGTTTAGAAGATGATTTATTGCCAACCGGTAAGCTTAGTGCGAACCACACAAAGGGGGTATTTATTTGCGGTCAACTACTTTTATGATGGCCATATAACCTTATAGCTCTTGGTTCACTATATTTATGTTGGATATACCTATTATTTACATTGGATAACATGCAAAACATATTTTTTTATTTGGTTCTCTTAGACTTTTGTCTAAGGACTGAAAATATATTTTAAAAAACTTAACTGTTTGCCGTAAGGTTTGCAAAAAAACACCATCTCCATCTAGAACCAACTGAGTAGGTCCGAATCCACGATGATACTTTGGAAGACATTTTTTCAATAATTCGTAATATCACTGCTCTGTCGCCAAGTTTGTAGACGAATGATGAATGAATTTGGAAATCAAAGAATGAAATACTTACAAATCCATTCTAGGTTTTCTATCTCTTCCAACCCCTCGTTAAATACATTTGCAGAACTATCTATATTTACAACATCCGGTTTAGAGGCCGTTAAGTAAAGAATTCCAGTAATAGGCCTAGGGTGTCCATAAATGAAGTCTTGGAAACACCCGTCCGCATTATTAGAAAAGGTCGGTACTTATTTACCTACATACTGCCAATAAGCAATGTTCACCAATTACCACAAAAAAATGCAGCAAAAAATAGTTAAATATGCAGAATATGCAAAAATATGCATATTACCCGAGCAGAATCCAGGACACGAGAAATAATAAACCGTCAAAATAAGCAAATGCAATTTTTATAAATTTCACAACAAGTTTTACATTTTTACCAACAATACCACAATATTTCCTAATTTCAAATATATAAATAAATTGAGCAATTTTAATTGACAAATTTTCAGTCCTGACTCATTTCAACTAGATTATAAAAATCACATACATCAAAGGAATGCAAGTCAAACTTACAGCCAAAACATAAGCAATATAACGCATATAAAATTAAGTACTTATATTCCAATTAAGTTGATAATCATGGAGCTAAAGAAAAAGGAAACACTTTCATCTTAACATAATCATCAATAATCTCCTTAACGTTGTCGATGGTGGGAGAAGGAACACTCACTGAGAATCCCAAATCCTTCAACTTCACGCCATCGAGCCTCAAGTGTTTGTGCAAGAGCAGCTCTGGGTCCATGTGTGGTGTCAGCGGCGTGTTTTGAATATTATCTTTTCTGCAAACTTCCGCCCAAGGCACTAAGTGTTTGTCATTGGCGTCGTCGGCGACAGTTTCGAGATCTACGACTGCCGAGACGACGTTGCCACAAAATTCGGTTTTGATGCTAAAAAGGTCAGAGAGGATGGTGCAAAGGGAGCCTTGGCTTGAATCGCCGTCATCAACAACGTTGTATATCTGGAATGATTAGGTACTTAATAAGGGAAATATACAACGTTTGGAAAAAAACCTGTCCCAAAGTGTCATCCCGGGTGCATGTAAACCAGATCGCTCTGCAAACATCTACAACATGTATGGTATTGATTTTCAAATCGGAATTCCAAAGCAGTTTCATTGTTTCTCCTAAATGTTTGTAGATTGAAGCTACGATGATTCGGGGTGTAAGACCCATGCGATCTCCTAAGCCGTATACCGTAGCAAGTCTTAAAACGGTGTACTTAAGGTCCGGAATATCACGTATTTGTTGTTCGACCTGTGAAAGTATACAAACATTCCTGATCAAGTATTTGATAATGTTGGTGTGCCAACTTCATTATTTAAATATAAATTTCATGGCCTACTAGAGGACTTTTTTTCAGTCATTTGGTACACAAGAAATCCACTCGGAAAAGTGTTTTTGAAAATGATTGGTATTCTTAAATCTGAAAATTGTACTCTACGCAAAAAATAATATAAATAATAGAGCTCGAGTGAATTTCGGAATATTTATTTTACGTTGAATAGGTACTGCAATTAGGTTATCGTATTTTGATAAATTTCTTAAGTAACCTTTTTTTATCTATTCAATAGTAGGAATAAATTGTGCTAAAAATATAGTGCCGCCGAAATTGGCGTCAGGCTACTGACAAAGATAAAACAACTTCAAAACAAATTTATTGACACACAGGTATAAGAAGGTCAGACTGTGTAAGACATTATTAAGCATACACACCTTTATAGTAAGAAAACTTTCCTCAAATTTAGATTTATTTTTATCAGTTGGGTAAAGATAATTTACTCCATAAAAAGAATTATAAATTAATTTGCCTTGTCAATCCTGTCAAGTTTGTGAATTTTGCAATATACAGGATGTTTCACCTCGGATTGAAGGTGAATTTTTTTAAAAATCGTAAAAATTGTTATTTCAATTGGCAATTCTGGAAAAAGAATGGGCATTTTCTAAAAAAGAAGCCGAAAATGACTTTTGGATGTCGAAATCTACGAGAAAATGTGTTTGGCCGAATAGTCGAACATTGGTCGAAAATATCAAAAAAGTATTGATAAATTGAGCTTAGAAAAGTTCCTCAAAAATTCTCAAACAATTCTGGAATGTAGATCTTGACGTTATAATTCGAAAAATACACTTCAGAGTGCCGGATTAAAAATTTAGGGAAAATTCGGATTGAAAATGAAATTTCTTAAAAAGCGAAAAAATTGTCATCTTTCAATTGGCGATTCTGGATTTCGAATAAATGAAGCTCAAAATAACTTCTCTGAATGTCGAGAGCTACAGGGAAATGTCTTTTAATAATTTTCGAAAATTGGTCGAAAATATCAAAAGTATCGAAAAATTGGATGTTTGGAAAAGTTCCCCAAAAATTCTTAAATAATTCTAGAATCTAGATATTGATGTGCTGATTCGAAAAATATAGCCTATTCACTATGTCGGAGTAAAAATTTTCGAAAAACAGGGATTAAAAATGAAATTTTTCCAAATTCGTAAGAATTGCCGCATTTCAATTAGTGATTCTGGAAAAACAGTAGGAATTTCCTAAGAAACAAATCCGAAAATCGATTTCTGGATGTCGAAATCTACGAGAAAATGTCTCCAGCTATTGTTCAAAAATGATGTGAAAATGCTCGCAAATGGTAAAATATCAACTGAAAAATCGAGCGTTTGGAAAAGTTGAAAATTTTTCAAAACATTCTGGAATGTAGCTCTTAATGTGCTGCTTGGAAATATACAATACAAACCTGGACTAAAAATTTACGAAAAATTCGGATTGAAAATGAAATTTTTTGAAAATCGTAAAAATTTCCATTATTTCAATTAGCGATTCTGGAAAAACCGTAGGAATTTTTTGAAGAAATGAAGCCGAAAATGACTTTTGGGTGTCGAAATCTACAAGAAAATATCTTTAGTGAATTTTCGAAAATGATCGAAAATGTCAAGAATCAAAAAATGTCAAGAATCAAAAAATTGAGCCTTTGGAAAAGTCCCCCAAAAATACTTGAAAAATTCTCAGTTAGCGATTTTAGAAAAACGGTAGGCATTTTTTGAAGAAATAAAGCCAAAAATGACTTCTGGATGTCGAAATCTTCAAAAAAATATCTTTGGAGAATTTTCGAAAATGGTCGAAAATGTCAAAAAAATTTAAAAAAATGAGCTTTTGGAAAAGTTGGCCAACAATTCTGAAAAATTGTGGAATGTAGATGTTGACGTGCTGATTCGAAAAATATAGCGTCTTCATGGTCCCGGATTATTAACAATTTACGAAAAATTCGGATTAAAAATGAATTTTTTTAAAATTCGTAAAAATTACCATATTTCAGTTGGGTGTGCTAGAAAAACGGTAGGAATTTCCGAAGAAACGGAGCCGAAAATTACTTCTGCATGTCGAAATTTATAAGAACATTTGTTTGGTCAATTTTCAAAAATGACCAAAAAGTGGTCGAAAATGTCAAAATGAGGGGAATATTGAAAAACTGAGTTTTGGAACAGTTGTGCAAAAAATTTTAAAAAACGTGCTGATTCGAAAAATATAGTGTGTTCATAGTTTCGGATTAAAATTTGCGAAAAATTTGGACTGAAATTGATTTTTTAGGATCGTAAAAATTGCCATATTTCAATTCGCGATTCAGGAAAGAGGAATTTTTTAAGAAAACATGCCTTCTGAATGTCGAAATCTACAGGAAAATATTTTCAACTAATTTTCGAAAATGGTCAAAAATTGGTCGAAAATCTCAAGTATGGGAGTTCTCCAAAAATTGTCAAAGAATTCTGGAATCCAGATCTTGATGTACTGATTCGAAAAATATTGTGTGTTCACAGTGCCGGATTAAAAATTTTCGAAAAATTGAGATTGAAAATGAAATTTTTTCAATTTGGTAAAAATTGCCACATTACAATTAGTGATACTGGAAAAATAGTAGGAATTTCCTACGAAACAAATCCGAAAATGACTTTTCGATATCGAAACGTCCAAGTTATTTTTCGAAAATGGTCTAAAATTGCTAGAAAATGTCAAAATATCAATTCAAAAATTGAGCATTTGGAAAGTTGTCCAGAATTTCTCAAAAAATTCTGGAATGTAGCTCCTGACGTGCTGATTCGAAAAGAATATTGCGTGTTCATAGTCGTGGATTAAAAATTTACGAAAAATTCGGATTGAAAATACAATTTTTTTAAAATCCTAAAAATTGCCACTATTTCATTTGGCGATTCCGGAAAAACGGTAGGAATTTCCTAAGAAACGAAGCCGATAACTTCTGGATGTCGAAATCTACAAGAAAATGTCTTTGGCGAATTTTCAAAAATCGTCAAAAAGTGGTCGAAAATGCGGTAGTATTGAAAAATTAAGCTTTTGGAAAAGTTGTCCAAAAATTCTGAAAAATTGTGGAATGTAGATCTTGACGTGCTGATTCAAAAAATAAAGCGTGTTCATAGTCCCCGATTAAAAATTTACGAAAAATTCGGATTGAATTTTTTAAAAATTGCCGTATTTCAATTAGCCATTCTGGAAAACGGTAGGAGTTTTTTTGAGGAAATGAAGCCGAAAGTGACTTCTTGATGTCGAAATCTACAAGAAAATATTTTTGGTGAATTTTCGAAAATGGTCGAAATTGTCAAAATGGGATGAGTATTGAAAAACTGAGCTTTGGAAAAATTGTCCAAAAATTCTTTAAAAATTCTGGGATGTAGATCTTGGCGTGCCGATCCGAAAAATATAGCGTGATCATAGTCTCGGATTAAAAATTAACGAAAAATTAGGATTGAAAGTGAAATTTTTGACAAATCGTAAACATTGCCATATTTCAATTGACGATTCTGGAAAAGGTTGGAATTTTCTAAGAAAATAAGCCGAAGATGACTACTGGATGTCAAAATCTACAAGAAAATGTCTTTCGCTAATTTTGGAAAATGGTCGAAAATTGGGCTTTTGGAAAAGTTCCCCAAAAGTTTTTCTAAAGTCCAATATAAAATATAAAAACAAATTAATAAACCACAAGTTCATATTATTTTATAAAATTTAAGCACAATTTATTTGGTTTTTTGGAGAAAAATTTTGAGAACTAATTTTTGGAAGGGAAAGCACATAAATTTTGGTTCTCGATTTACCACTATTTCGATAACTTTAAAACGTTTGCAAGATTTGAAAGTAGCCATTAAAAAAAAATATTTTGATTTTTTTTTTCATAAATTGAGAGATATAAGTTAAAAATTATAAAAATCAAAATTTTTTTTTTTCATAAATTGAGAGATAAGTTAAAAATTATAAAAACGAACTAATAAACCGCAAGTACACAAGCATATTATTTTGTAAAATTTAAACATCACTTACTTAGTAAAATTTTGAGATAACGTCTTCTAATTATTGTAAGGGACGAAATACAATTTTACATTTAATAGAAACGCTTCCGGTTTCGCCAAAATTAAACACATTTTTTCTAAATCCAATCCATTCCAATTTATATCAGTTTACATAACAAAATTTTTGCATAATATATTTCGAGCAATTATTTTTAATTGTTTTAAAAAATTCCAACCATATTTTTACAGTTAATTTGAGTTTACTGGAAAATTTTATTGTGTAACTCGTTGCAAATTTCGTGGAAGTGAAACTGAATCAATTTTATGTAATAAATTAATAATGTAAAGTACCATATGATCGAAAGAAACTCTTTTAGTAGGCCGTACAATATACTTTTTAAATAATTATGGTGGCATTGCAGCTATTTGACACTTTTTTGACAGTTATTTGAACTGTCAAACTAAACAAGGACCGCGTTGATGTTGCCAACATTTTAAAAATAAACTACACAGCCTACTAGAGGAGTTTTTGCGATCATATGGTTCTTCACTGAGTTTTAAATAGGCGGATATTGCATTAAAACCATGAATAATCATCCACAGTAAATCACAGCCACACGCGTTAAAAATAATTATCTCCCAAAGACAAACAAAGCTCTTATCACAATTCTTACATCCCGTTTACAAACACGTTATCATGTAAATTACTCCAGTGTAAAATTAAAAATGAACTAACCCGATACTTCCATTTTCCTATGAAAGACCAAGGCTCGATGGACCCATCTTCCTTATGAGGCACTTTTTCCGAAGAACTCATTTTGCCCGAAGACAACTCGATGTAATGCTTAACATTATCCAAAGCGGCCTGCTTTGCACAATTAACACTCAATTTCAAAATACCTTCTTCATATACGGGATCAGTTTGACCCAGCTTAGTTTCACCAGCACAATTAATTACATAATCCCATTGAAATTCTGAGCAACTGAAGGCGTTTTTGCATGATTCTATAATAAAAAAATTGCTAGCGATTTGCTACTAGAATTGCGTTAAAGTTACCTGGGTTTATAAGGTTAGCACTTTTGAATTCTACAATGGGGTTTTGGAAGTACTTTTGGCATTGTTCGTTTAGCCAAGCCACTTGTGGAGGAACTTTATCTACTACTCTTATTGCACTAGCGAGATCGTTGGATACTAAAAAAGAGACTAAATTTCGGCCTATAAAGCCACAACCTGTGGAAAATAGCACGTGTTTTAGGTTAGGCGGTTTGGGTTTAATTAAATCTAGATTTACCTCCAAGTACTAAGATTCTTGGTTTGTCCATGCTTCTTTGTGCTTGCACGATGTACTTTTATTAGAAAATCTTATCTTCCGATTATAATTCATCCGGTATACGTCATCGAACTGGTAAACAAGGAGGAAGCACAATATGCACATAAAAGCCGGTGCTTTGCAGTTATTTACAGTCTATTTATTTCGTTTCTTTAGGGGTGATGGGAGTCATATGGTTGGAATTTATGAATAAATTTAACCCATTATGGTTCGTTTTCGCATTCGTGTCCATTATGGTCCAAAAACATTTAATACAGCACGAGGGGTGCATTTTAATGGTTTAATTAACAGGTGGAATAATGAAACTGGAATTATTATAGGATAGGCAACACAATATACACCGATAACCGCAAAATTTGAACTTTAATTTGATTCATAGTATTCGGGTCAGAAAAATCAAAGGCGCCGACACGAGTTATCCCTATTGAATAATATCTATACTGTGAGTGACATATCTAGACGCGATCTGAAAAAAAACATGCTTTTATCCTTTGAACGTTGATATAAGTTTTATTAAATTCTGTCGGTGTTTCTTTCATTTTATTTGATTTATAAACTTTTTAAAATCTGTTAGAATGTACGCCCATGTCTAGACGATAACGCCTTTTCTAGTGATACCGCAGCCAGCGGAAATGTATGTGCGGGAATTTACGAGACAACGCTCAGCGGAAAATACAACAAAAATATTTTAAAGATTTTGTAAATTATTTTGACTGTATTCATTTGGTGTAATAAAAAATGAGTGATAACGTATCTGTTCTGAAATTATCGCTAAAATCTGTTATCATCGAGGATATTTTCTTTAAATTTATTGTTTATTTACAAGATCAGTCGGCCAACAATATTTTGCATTCCGTCTATTTCCAATAAACACTGTTTAAGATATTTACTCATCCATCTATTTGATCTAGATTTGTTTACACATTTTGTGCTTTCTTTACACCTAGGTGAAAGCAAAATTTTCCGAAATTCAATATTTTTTATCTGACGTCATCATTTTTCCGTGGGGGTGAATATACAAATTAGGGTTAGCACCGCCTCCACAATAACGTTCATTTAAAAATTCAAGGTTATTGCTTTGATTAAGATTAGGATCTGTCTATAAAAATTCCCTTTTCATAATGTACCAAATTGTAAAATGCAACGAAAGCATGACATTAGATATTGATTCAAGAGTTCTAGTACAATTTTCGCTCAGCAAAAAAAAATCAAAAAGCAGTCAATCATAATTCAATTTTCGACACACAAAAACGCCTAGTTTAAACAAACAAATTCGCACGTAATATCGCTACTATTGGAGTTATACATAAAGTTGAATCACTATTTGTTACATTTTGATAAGATAAATGACATCCGTTTGGAAGTAGGTACAGCAAAACTTGTCATTTGCTGCTTTTCCACTACGACACCATGGCGGAAAAACTCCTGCGAAATATCCAACTCTTTTCAGAAAATGATCTCTCCGAATTTCTGCAACAAGTAAGATCAAACTGATTTTATCTCGATTTACTAATGCAGGAAATCACCGATTTCAGAACGGACACAGCGACTTCAAGCAAATTTTAAGCAACGCGGAAATCAACGATGGCGAAAAATTTTTGGTGAGTCACAGCTAAACACCACTGGCTTTTCGCATAATCGGCTTGTTGACAATGTAAGCTTAAGCAAATATGCTTTATTTTAGAATCTCACCGAATTGCAAATACGCAGTTGGAACGTGCCTTTAGGCACAAGGCGAAGACTCATGGCGTTTTTGACGGACGTAAAGGCAAACCCGCAGAATTTTCTCTCGAAAGAGCAGACTGCGAAATGTACGCCTTTGAATCGACGTCAAAGTTTGCGCACTAAAAGTGATTTCAAAGAAAAACTAGAGCAGGTTATTACGGTGCCTAAGCAAATGACGGAACCCAAACCGTTCAAAAAACCTACAATAAAACCACCGTTGGAGGATCCACCTTTACCTTCACCGTCGCCAACTGAAGAATATTTACCCATGGATATGGGAAAAGGAGAAGATCTTGAAGGTCATTACGACGACGGTGGGTATTTGGTTCCTATTGAACCATCGAAACAGATTGAAGAGGATACATACGAACCTCCACCCTCTGAGAAACTTGTAACGAATTTTGCTCCAAGTAACCACAAACCAAAAACCGTAACGAGTCCATCTTCTAGTCTTTACCCACGAAAAGTAGATATATCTTTAAGAGCACCTCTGGCTTTACCCAGAAATAGTACCGATGAAAGAGGGTACATACGAGGACCTGAAGATCTCGTACCTCCTAACGACAGAAACACAGAAAACGCACCTCCTCTGTTTCCCAGAGTTGCCCCGAAAAACCAGAGAAATGTACCTTTCAAGTCTCTAGCTAGTACACCCAGTCCTACCACTGCCAAACAGTTTCCAAAAGCATCAGCAGAAAGCGAAAGCGATGAAGACGTAGCTTATGAACCTATCGATGAACAACCCGATATACCTTCCAGACTCAGTCCAGGGGAACCAAATCCGGATAACCCGACTGGGTCCATTACCCGGCTCTTCTCGAATTTTCTGAAATTAAACAAGAAAGCAAACGTACCCAGATCCGAACCTATTGAAATCCAGACGAATAGCTTGGATCGAAAAGAGTTACCAAAAAAGGATTCAGGTACGGTTCGTTCACCTTCTGTTCGGTCACAGTCGCCTAACTATACTGCGCGACCGTTGCCTCCACTACCGACATCAAAAGGGCATTTTAAACCTCCCGATAGAAAAGAACGAGACGAGGAACCACTCGAAGAATATGAAAATATTGAAAAACGCACGCAATTTAGAGCTCCAAAAGTAGAAGAAAGCGAAGAGCCGCTGGAAGAATACGAGAACATTGAAAAACACATAAGACCCAGAACCCCTGAAACAGAAGACGATGAACCCTTGGAACCTTACGAAAATATTCAAAGGCATCCATCGAACGGAAGCATCAAAAGTACAAAATCTCGTGCTGTTGCTCCAGACGATAGTTTTAAAAGAGATAAGCCTAAAGTTGAACCTAGTCCAAGTAGGATAATTGATTATTGAACGAGTTATTTTGTACTAATTGGAGTTGTTTTAGCCGTTGAGCAGGAAGCTGCCACAAGACATAAAAATACTGACGATAATAAGAAACCCAAATATCCAGAAAGTTACGAACAGTTTCATATGGGGAAGTCCAAGTTTGGTAAAAACCCACTTCCACTACCACCTACTTCTTTACCTCAAATTAAACTGGATCCGGGATTTTTAACAATGCAGAACAATGACTATGACTGCGAACCTGAGGATTATGGCGACTATTTAAGTAAGTAGCCTCAATTTGATCACAATCAAAACGACCACTATACATACAAATTAGTGAAAAATATATAAAGAGAATTTATACAAATGTCTCGTTTATCAAATACACACTAAAATTACATTTTTTGAACACATTTTGGTGGTTAAATACATCGTTATAAGGAAAAAATTGGTTTATTATACCATAAAACTTTCTACAGTAGCGGTCATTTCTACGGAACCACTCGATAAAAAGTCAAGTTGGTAGCCCTGTCATCTAGTACTTTACGCCGAACGCGGTTGGTAGCGGTAGTTGATATGGTAATCGAAACTAGCACAACACGAATGTTTCGGTTGCCCTCAGCTATGCCGCACTGTATCCCGTGCAGACTGTATGTTCTGTTCATCTATTTATTAAAATAAAATATCCACATTGACAATGGGGCCATCTAACCTGTCAAATTTTTGACACATATGTTTTCCCCCAGAAACCCGTCAAGGTCACTTACACCAAACAAATTTTGAAAATTTACACTAGGGAGTGGTTCTATAGAAAAGATCGCGACTTTACATTAATTTTTTAAGGTAGCTTGTATCAACAATTATAAAAAATAACATTGTATGTACAAATGGAACGTTTTTATAATATTTCAGGCGCTAGAGAAGTTCTGTCAACATCACCTTAGACCATTTTTTAGTTATGTTGAAACTATAAAAATTTTAAAACTTCGCTTTCCATATTCTAAATATATGGAATAAAATTCTAGAGTTTACAGGGTCAAGACGAAAGCGAAACTTGGAGTCCACGGAACAAGGACTTTCCATATATTCGATTATTTTATATTTTTGCATAAGCTACAACCACTTTCAGCGTGGAAAAAAACATAATTTATTTGTAGACAATTATGATTAATTTTGAAAAGGCCAAATATTTGTCAAAATTTAAAAGGTATAAGTACTCTGAACAACACTTGATAGAAACTTCCTTGATTCAGGTATTAGTACTTGCCAAAATAAAACTGATTTTGGCAAATGACCTACTCTATAAGAAAATAAAGGGCGGGTGGGCGGGGTCAGTACTTGCCAAGATGCGACTGATTTTGCCAAATGGCATACGCTCTAAGAAAATAAAGGGCGGGTGGGGGAGGGGCTAACACTTGCCAAAATAAGCAAATGACATGCCAAACATCCCGCTTTAAATTGACATGTAAAAAAAAAATTGAAAGCCCGCGAAAAATTCAAAATTTGGCCTTGGCTGTCATCATCCAACAAATGGAACCCTACGTTGCGTTTTTGAAAAATGGCGGGATGTGTTCAGATGCAAATAGTGGACCCCAAGGTTGGAAAAGAACCGCTAAATAACACAGAAAATATATGGAAGAGACAAAATTATTTATTCCTCCACTGACAAAAAAAAAGCTGCGATCAAGTTGTCCGGTTGAAGACACCTCTTAATGCTCAGCTACAAAAAAAAACTTTCCAAGCTTTGAATGAAATCAAATTAAACGTGCTGAATCAATGCAAATATTTTAATATCACAAATTTAATAAAAACAAAGCAAAATCCGAAGTAAAGTAACCGGATGCAAATACCCAAGTCATTACAGACGTGTGGCAGCAAATTTAAAATTATGGCAGTCAGCAAGAGAACAAAATTTTAATAAATAACTATACAGCGGCAGCGGCACTGGAGCGCTATAAGAGTGTGTCAATTTCATTCTAGAGCACAACAAAAATACCCATGGCGCGTTGATTCTATTTATCGCAAGCACTGCCGCAAAGCACTTCTCTATTACGGACATGGCGTACGTATTGGGCCAAGTCGATAGCGTTACGTCATCTCGACCGCCCCTGACTTCTATTCTAGCCTGCATCTTTTGTGCATATGGCGCGATAAATCCCGCCAGCTCGACTAGGAACTGCGCCCTCCGCTTCTGCCACGTTTTTTGGTGTTATTCAAATCAATTCCATTTTAAATGTTCAATTCTTATAACTCTGTTATTAAACTACAACTGAACAAGTGTCAAAGTTTCAAAAAGAGCAATAAACAACATTTGAATTCGCCGTACACTCTCGTGAAATATTTAAACAGCAAAGAATTTTTATGTGTGATTAAGATTGGGCATCAGATAATTTATGTGTGGAAACATTCATCAACAAAATATTTATTCTACATAAAAAAACTAGCAAAGATATATAAAAAACAAAAAATCTGGTGTGAAATAAAACTTGTGCAAATAAAAATATTACGTGAGGTTAGAAACTGCAGAGCATGAAAATTTACGTTCAATTTAAATTATACAACAAAGAAAATTACTGAAGTTAAAATTGTGAGATAGCGAAACATTGTATGAGGTAAAAATTGCAAAGCTACAGCCCCTAGAAATACATAGTACCGTCATCCATTGTTGTACGAGCGGAATAAATGCAGTTGGTAACGCAAAAATTCCTCTGGTTTGAACCCAAATTGTGTCAGCAGAGAGTTGACAGGGCGTAAACCGTTGTTGTCACGTGGTCTTGGCGTGGTCTTTTTGTTTAAAGTCAATTAATTGTTAATCAATATAACTAATAATTATTAAATACGATTTTATTGATTAAATTTTATATTTTATTCAAATTAAAAATCCATATTTTGTATATAAACTACAAACTTTAAATCCAACATAAAACCATTTTAAATTTCGCGGTCTGTCAAATAGTGTTCATAACTTTTGTTTTTGTTAAGTTTCCGCCAAGTTTGCTCCACGGTGACGATCTGTGGTGACGATACTATGTGTTTTCTATGGGCTATATGCAAAGCTATCAAATTTACATGAGATTAATATTTGCCACACTTTATCAACGATTCAAACAAAGAGTTTACATTATGTTCAATTATGCCACACTTCATCAACGATTCAAACAAAGAATTTATATGATGTTACATTATGCCATGATCCAAGTGATTGGTTACATAAAACAATTTGTTTTGAGGGTTTATATCGTGAACTGTTTATCCCAAACAAAACACATGATAAATAAATACAAAATGCATCCTGTGTTGCGATAAATAAAAGGTCTCAGTGATGTGATGAGAACGATGATAACTGTCTAAGAAGAGAAATCTTTAAGCCCCCCGTCAGTCCACGATATTATATTATAAATTCTGCTGCATTTTTCTACGGTCTTTTTCCACAGTGGGGCAACGTTAGGTTAATTTAACTATTAGTAAGTAATCTTGTGTGAAGAATTAAGAAATGTTATACTTAATGTAACACTTACAATAAGTGTTAGCATCCAGAAACGTATTCATAACTTTGTTAAACAAAAGACTGAATCCTGATAAGTGAATTTCATGAAATCTCCTAGTAAGTGATTTATCTAAATAAATCTAATGTCTGTTAAATTGTGTTAGCACTAGTTAACGATTAAACTCCTAACCTAATTTGTGAATTTACAAACAATAAAACAAATTTACCGCACGTGTTACCGTCAGTCGAAAATGAGCATTTTTCCGATTAGAAAGCCGCAAGAATTAGCTGCGCGTGTTGGGGAAAACTGTAGCATCGCCGTCGTTAGGATTAATTGTCGTTAAACAAAGGCTTCCTCCTTTTTATTAACTACCAAGCCAACGAAACTTAACCTACTCACCACGTGGTTACACTCACAACACACAACACACAGTGAAGCTCTCTCCTCTCTACCAAGCAGCCATCTTCTACCAAGCCGCCCTCTTCTACCAACCCTCTAACTAAAATTTCCAAGCAGAACTACCCACTACTTAAAAAGCGCTAACGTGCATATGGTTGCCTATGTTTAACGATTTTTTTTGATTGAATTTTTCTTTTCAAATTCAAATTATTCAAATGTGATTTCGCGCCGCTGTTAATTTGTTTCAGCGTGAAATTTTAAATCCGGTCACCACAGCGAATTTCATGAATCTCCCAGTGAATATTTATCTCAATAAATCTAATGTCTGTTAAATTGTGTTAGCACCAGTTAACGATTAAAATCCTAACCTGATTTGTGAATTTACAAACAATAAAAGAAATTTGCCGCACTTGTTAGCGTCAGTCGAAAATTAGCATTTTTCCGATTAGAAAACCGCAAGAATTAGCTCCGAGCGTTGGGGAAACTGTGGCCTCGTCGTCGTTACGATTCATTGTCGTTAAACAAAGGCTTTCTTCTTTTTATTAACTACGAAACCACCCCAACTCACCACTGGTTACACTCACAACAAACACACCAAAAATGACGCGTTTACCTCCCACCTTAGATCATATAATAAATAGATACCAATACTCAAACTGAAAGGTGTGACTAGACATGAAGCTATCTGTTGTCGTTTTCTACGTCCAAGGGAGTAGTATAATGCTATCCTTGTGTGATCACCACATCTTCATCTTTGTTATATGCATTTCATCTGTATATGTCTATTTCACTTCCATCCTTGTACCGCACCAGCGCAACAAGTCGCTTTTGACAGATGTTTCTTCTAACCTCTCTTTCGAGTTGTTGTACAAAAAACAATTTTAGAATTTAGAACAAAGATCCTGTTTTAAGTGATGTAGTCATAAAGGATAACAATTGCTGCCCAATAATTTACTATTGCTTTCGTTATCTACTGTGAATTATTTATAAAATCAAGCTGTCAACATCTTTCTTCCGAAGTTAGTTCAGACATACTTCCTAAAATTTAGGCGCGCAAAATTCAAATAGTGATCAGGCAAGGACAGCTTCATTGTAATCCCTCCATGCACGAGAGAGATGTGTGACAGGAGGATGTCGTCACAGGCTGTCCTAGGGAAAGAACACGGCATGGTGGTATCTATTTATTATATGATCTAAGCCTCCCACCACCAAGCAGCCATGTTCTCGCTACCAAACCGCCCTCTTCTAACAACCCTCTAACTAAAATTTCAAGCACACACACTACCCAAAAGCGCTAACGTGCACATGGTTGCCTATATTTAACGATTTTTTTATTGAATTTTATAAATTCAAATTATTATTCAAATGTGATTTCGTGCCCCTGTAAATTTTGTTTAGCGCGAAATTTTAATTCAAATTCGGTCACCACAAGGTCCTTTCTCTCAAAAAGAATAACAACATTTAAGAATAGTTTAAGTTTAAATGCCATTAATAAACTATTATTAAATCTCGAATGAGAAGTCATGAAGTGTAGATAATATCTCCATGGGATTATAATGGGTATTCAATTGAAAAATCACTTAGAGAAGGCGTTGGAATTTCATTTGACACAAACGTCATGTCTACTCTTATAACATTCATTTGGCTGTTATATGGTATATGTTATAAGAACAGACATGTCGTTTGTGTCAAATGATATTCCAATGAAAATCTTGGAAGTAAATGCCATTTCACTGGAACAAAGTGTAAAACACCCGTTAATAAGTATTGTAACTTTATTTTTTAAGTTTTATCATTTTTGACATTTCGGGCATGCTAAACACAACCGTGCACTGGATGCAACGTGATACTGATAATTTTCTAGCTGCGACTGTATCAATTAACAAAATAGTTAATTACTGGGTGATTATTATTATTAATGATTGAAGCAAATTTTTGTATTAGTAGTTCTGAATTATTGGCAGCAATGCTAGTTATGTCAGTATTGTCAGTTCACAGTTGTCATTTTTTGTCATTTTAACATAAGTGCGGCTAACAAACGTGTCGAGAAGATGGACGCTACTGACGTGATGTCATAAAAATCTATTTGACAATCATAAAATTTTAAATGTTACCAACCTGACAAAAAAAATCATAGACATTAATATTCACTCGGTTGCTGGGTATCTAAGATACGGTGGTATAAGGGTTCAACAGAATTTAAAACACTAGATAGTGGTTCAAAGTTTAACGACTCTCTTTTTTTAGTAAACCTGAACGACGAACCTTTTTACCGAAACACCGACCGCAAAGGCGCCAGACTGCTGCTTTACGACCTCGATGATGGCGCTTTTGTATTCCGGCCCAGTAAGAAATTCTTCTTAACCATATCGCTAAAGTACCACGGTAGGTACTTCAACCTGGGCATTGACAGGACACCCAACAACATGATGCGGCTTAATACAACTGGAGTCCACACGTCGCCAGAATTTCGCACCCTCACAGAATTCGTTGATCACTTCACGAAAGAACACTTGACATTTGAATACCAAGGCCACGTAGTTGAAACCTACTTAGCCACAACCCTACCATCCAACAGATTTTAGTATGATATGTACTTTGTATTTAAAAATAGCTCTACTCGTAAATAAACTTTTATTTAATAAAAACTTGTTAAAAACAACTCAATCAAACAACACAAATTTTTGAGAAACGAAAATAGTCATCTTTAGCGCTTCCTTACGTCATCGTGGTCATTGTTATACTTCTTATTATTTCTGTCTCTAGATGAGTGACGTCTGTCTCTTTCTCTATCTTTAGAATGTGCTCTTTCTCTCACGTGGTTATTTCTGTGTCTTTTTTCTTCACTTACACGTCTATGAGGGGACACTTTGTGGTGTCTGTCTTCATATTTGTTTCTTTGTTCGTAGTTTCTAGATTTTTGATAACGTTCTCTACTGGGTTCACGCCTGTCTCTATAGCGATCGTGTCTCCTACTGGTACTTCTTGAACTGCTTGACTGGTTACTATTCCTACTAATAGAAGAGTGGGGGCGGTCGTGGTCTTCTTTTTTCTCTTCGTCAACACCGTTATTGCACTCTTCAGTCTTTTTGCTTTGATCTTGGGCCAATAACCACTCTTTGTACTCTTCCATTTGTCCATTTATCACTTCCCTAATTACTTCAGTGTGGTTCTTACGATTTATATGAACTGATTTATATTTGGTTCTTCGTCTTTTAGCGTCTCGTTGTTGGGCTAGTATTTCTTCATAACTCAAGGGTTTTTCTTCTTCTTGCTTCTTGTTATGAAGTCTAAATAATTTAGAAAGTAGTAAGTTAAGAAAATTGTGTTTGAACGCAACTTACGTCGTAAATTCTGGAGGAACTGGTGGACCTGCTGTGTTTTCAACACAATAATTATAAAAAATTAATCGTTCATCTGGAGAGTATGTTGATACCCATCGATCGGCAGTGCGTGGATCAGGATCTAATCCATTCCAGGCTACATGATAAATATAAGTTTAAAATTATCTTAAGCACGTATGCGGAGCTACGGCATGCATAAAATTAAACAATTTTGGATAAGTGATTTGGTCATTATTTACGTCGTATTTTGGCATGCAAATTTGAAAAACTGAACTTTTTGAGATGTGTATCGAAAGTGGCTTTATGGTTAACATTGATTTTTTCCTATGCATTCTAAGCACATAAAGTTGATAAAAAAGGATATTGAAAAAGGATATATTAATGACATGGATTTTTTTATGTTTAGTTGTGTAATGACTTCATCAAAATTGTAATCTTTTTCTGAAAAAAAAAATTCAAAATTTATGTCCTAGTCCTCACTTGTTTAAGCAAATACAAAGCGTACAAGTTTTATACAAACCTAGTCTTAAAGCACCCTTCTCTGATAATTCCTTAGTGATAAGTTCGATTTTCTTATTGTGGTCTAAAATGAAATGTTTAGAATGTGGCGCAACAGAGCAAAGAGTTACCTATGTATATTGACTGTGTAGAATTATCAACAGATTCTGACAAAAATTGACTTTTTTCATCATATCCTTCTATTTTTATCACACATTTTTCAATATGTTCGTTCCAAGATTGTGGTGAGATCCGGTGATGAGGATTAACGGGGCACTGTACACAAGGATCCCCCTAGCAACAATATTACTTAGCACACGTAAAGTAACACAACAAAATCTATAAATATACTTTTTTAACATTTTCGCTGGACCAACCCAAGTAACTCAGTACGGATTGAATTCTATCTCTTGATGACGAGATAAGTTGATCCAAATTATCTAACTGTTTCTTACGTATCTCTATATTAAAGTCCATATTTTCTCCTCTTCATTGGAACCCTGAGTATTGTTGGAGCACACAACAAAAAAATACATCAACTAAATGAGTTAAATTAAATAATTTTCTAGAGAGAAGTTATCGCCGAACAACAACCTTGATTCACATTCGCAGCAACCTTGATGAAAATAATAAAACAGAAAAAACAAATCCATAATTACGAAACATCGTCAACTAAAACTGCCGTGACTCGAGACTTTTTGAAGAATTTTGCATTATATGAAACAAATAACTGAAAAGAAATGCCAACAAAATGCCCGTGCTTGAGGGCTAACTTCAGACGACTCCCCTAACCTAACCTTAACCGTCAAAAACCTAACCCCAAAAAATGACTTCACTGGCAAGAGCACTGCAAAAACTATGCATAACGCAGCCACAAATCGCCCCCAGGTTCATAGTTAGCGTCAGAACTAGAATCGTAACTCCGCCGAAGCCAGAAATCGGTCGTGGAAAAAGTTTCCGAAGAATCGTCCATTTCCCCGAAAATTATACAGTGAAGCCGCTGGAAGTAACGAATTTAGGGGGGCGAGACCCGAAAACTGGTCGCCTTGCGGTGAAAGGCATCGGCGGCGGCATTAAACACAAATACCACTGGATTGACTGGCACCGAGTGGGTCCTAGTGAAGGCCCCCCACAGGAAGAACGCGTCATTCAAATAATTAAAGACGGCTGTAGAACGGCTCACGTGGCTTTGGTGGCTTACGGCGACAAATTAAAGTATATTTTAGCCACCGAGAATATGAAACCCGGAGATATTATTAGAACGTCGTCTCACATCCCTAGGATTCCAGGTAACAAATAATCTTAGTAAACATGACAATCATTGATTGTTTTTAGTTCGTCCAAATGAAGGAGACGCTTATCCCTTAGGAGCTCTGCCAATAGGTACGCAAATTAATTGTGTTGAACACACTCCTGGTTTGGGGGGGTTTCTTGTTCATGCAGCCGGCACATTTGCGACAATTTTGCGCAAAGTTGATAACAGAGTGATTATTTTAACTCCTAGTAAAAAGGAATTTAGTTTGTTGGAAAACTGTATGTGCACTGTGGGTAGGTTAAGCAATGTGGCACATGGAGATACCCCCATTGGTTCTGCCCAAAAAAATAGAGAATTGGGGAATAGGCCGAGGTCTGGGTTGTGGCAACGGAAAACTGGGCGATTTGGGCGGAAAATCAGGAAGCCGCCACCAGTCAAAGTTTTTGGGGGTGAAAAACCCAAAGAGAGAGAAGTGGTACAGCTTAATTTTAGCGGGCATTTTGGAAAACATCTTAGGACGCAGTTTCAATACTGATTTTGTTACCACTATAAATACATGATTAAGTTTTATTGTTGTTTTTTTTTGTCAATAAAAATAGTGTGATAAGTATTAACAACAAAAAAAAAATTGTCACCATTTCTTGTTGTTATAGTCTTGCAAATAGCATATTATTGATTAAACAGAACCGCCCTCATTTCCATTATGGTGCAGTTTGCGACGTTTAATTGATTTTGTGCACAATAGGAAGATTAGTTGTTTGCTATTGTTTCTGAACGCGTCCTATTTTCGCTATTTCGCTCCTAAATATCGACTTTTCAGATATATACGCGTTTTTTAAATTAAAAACAACCAAATTGATTTGTGTGGGCGTCTAAAAATCTTTTCCTGTTGTCCTCGTACGCTTTTTCTGGTACAAAAAAGCACGAACGTCAGAAATGAAAAACATTAAAGCTAAACATTTTTTGCTTTCAATTCACCATTCGTGTCACGCTCTTTCATTTATATTCATTCCAACGGTTGAAATTAAAATAACTCGAATGCTTTCAAGCTTTCACGAGAATATATATTAAATTTGCTACAGCATTCGTTAACCAGATTTGAGTCTGAAAATTCATATCCCGCTGTACAGGATTATAAATTTATACAATAATTGGAAATAGGAGTGCGATAAGTGTATTATGGGTTGCATAATCTTAATTATGTTTTTCTTTTAATTAAAAATAAAACCCAAAATGGAAATTTGGAGAGATCATAACATCTAATTATAAATATAAAAATTCGTAAGAAAAATCCACTTACATACCCTTATAAATTGACTACCCTCTACATTTAATTAATTAAGAATATCTAGTACATCGTCCACCAGTACGATAGGGCACTACACGGTCACTACCGACCCTGGAGTAGCCAGTCAATAAAATAAAAACCATGTAATTATCTAATTTGATATCAAGGACGCATTATCTACGTCATGTAATTGAACATTCATATAATTTGTTGGATTAACAACAACCGCTCAGCCGTAACCGAATCAACGAATTTCCCCTTCAATTTAAACTAAATAAGTTTAGACTACAGCAAATTCGCTAAATATCGATTTTTACAAGTGAGGACGTTTTCCAAGCCAGTGATTTCAGTTCACGATTCTACGTTTAGCATCAATTTCCTTGCGTGATTGAACTGAAGCTTTCCCAATTTGGTTGGGCGCCTTGCCTTATAAAAAGTGTGTTTACGTCGATAGCGTGAATTTAATGAAGCAGATTTTATCGTTATTTTTAAACTTAATGTTATCTTTTGTGTTGTTAACAACCTATGGAAATGTTTGCATTTATGACTGAATTTATTGGTGGCTTACTTTTTTTACAATTCTTTCGAGATTTGGGTATAAATTTAGAAGGAAGTTACGGTGTTTATTAGGTAAAATTTTCCAGGAATTCCATCACGTTGGGTACTATATTTAAGTGATTGGGTTGGCAACGGTAGTATAAACAAAAGAGAAAAATGAACATGAAATATTTTGTTATGGAATAACTCAGAAATTTTAATTTGATATCAACCATATTTCATTTTTGTATTTGGTTACATTAATTTATTTAAAGATTTTTAATTTGTTTCTACAGGGTATTGATTTTCTCTACTAGACTGAAGACTTGTGTTACATAATAAACTCGCACTATATCTTTCTCTAGAAGTGTACTTACTTTTTCTAATTTTTTATTTCACTCGTATTGCACATTTATGATTATTGTGGCTCATATTATTATGTCCTATAATATGAATCAGACAAATCAGTGGTAGAAGTTTAATCGGTACAGTAATGACCCGATTACTTACTGAATTTTTATAGTGAAATGTTAGTGTATTATTTCAGAAATTAATTTCTTGTTATAGCGCATTTTTATCTGAAGTGTAGGTATTGATTGTATATTCTGTTATTACCGATTGTATAAACTAATTATTGTTGTTTATAAATGCCGCGTATCATGCATTGCGCAAATACTAGATAATAATCAATAATTGGTCACGAACGCTTTTCTAAATGCGGAATTCCCAACCAAATTTCGACATGACAAAGTGAGCTTTTGGTAAGATTCAAAAGGATGGTATCTGTACCTATTGACTTAGGAATTGCTAACAAAATTTAAAAAAATCACGACGTCTAGGGTAAGAAATAAAGGCGGATTCGTAAGCCACAAGTATACTTAATTTTTAAGAGTTTATAAGTTGTTATTTTTGAAATTTAAACTTCGCTATCGGACACAACTAACTAACTATTTCATTTAACCGAAAACTGTCAGACAGAAACAGCTTTGTTTGTAGACTGAAATGGAGTTGAGACAATGATGAATCTCTGCGTATTCATTATAGAGATAAGCTTGTAGAATAAACACCGAGGCATCAACGTGTACTAAAGTTAGTACAAAGCAAACAACATTGTATATAATAATTCATTCACAAAAAATAGTAATATTTAAACCGTTATTTGCTTTAATATATAATAACCTACAATTGTTTGGAAGTAAAAAAAAACTTCCAATGACCTCAACACCAAATAAATGTGTAAAATTGTTAATTTAAAAGGATTTGGGAACATTTTTCAGTTCAACGGACAACTTTTCCGACATCATGTAAGAACTCTAACCACATTTTTCTCCCTTTAATTAAAAGAAATTGAATTAAAAACAATAAAAGAAAAAAAATCTCTTTTGAAAATTTGTTTGCACACTTATTAAAAGTGTTTGTTAATTGTTATCTGCCATTATAAATTAAAACTATTAACCTTATGTGTCAGCAACTTGTGTCCACTTTAGACTCGATTATTTCGGGTACAGTAGTAATTATCAAAGTTAGTTAAAGTAGCCTGTTCATGTAAACACAATCGAACTGTAGGTTTATTTCAAGGTTTTCACGGTCCTGGTTACATGTAGATAACAAGACCTTCGGGTGATTGTTACCGACTCAACAAGCCTACAAAAGAATCCAAAACTGATTGAACAGTAATAAATCAAAAGCGGTGACATTCGCAAAACTTTGAATATTTAGGTACTTATAGAAAAATTTAGAAAAATGTACTAATAGTACTATACAGAGAAAAATAACTGACGAATTTAGGTTTTAGTAATTATATACGTACTTTCTTTGCCCTTCACCTTGGTAAAATTTTGTTTGTAATTTCACGAATGGGCAATCGTTTAAACAAAAATGAATCGCATTCGACGCCACCGTTTCACCTTCAACGAGTGTATCTAGTGTAAGATCAGTTAATTAACGTTTTCTACTTTGAAATATTTTAAAAGTGCAATCTTTATGAACTCCATTTGATTTAATCCGTCACTTGAATCATGCATAATTTAACATCATATAAATTTTTTGTTGTTTGAAATTCCTGACAGTGGTTGCTGTTAATTCTGGTACTCGTTCAGTTATCGTTCTAAGTTTGGGAAATATAGGATTTGAATGTTTCTCAATACAAAACCCTCTTTTTGTACAATATACTGAGTGATCAAGAGAAAAATCGGGCGGGTCGGCGGGGCCACTTTGAAATTTTATAAATAGATTCTATCACATGACAAAATTAAATTAAATTTTCATCTAATCAAATAAGCCACTGAAATTGAAAATCGAAGGTGGCTGAGGTTAGTTTTAGGTTGTTGTTTAGATTCCACTGTCGTTCAATATAAAATGCATTTTTCGTTCAATAAAACGAGTGACCAAAGAGAAAACCGGGTGGGTGGGCGGGGCACTTTGAGTTTTTTAAGCCTAATTCGCCACTTGACATAGTAAAACTCAGTCTTTACCTAATCAAAGAAAAAAAAAAAAGAAATTCAAAAGCGGTGGTGGATAGAATTAGTTTTACGTTTTTGTCTAGATTTCATTGTTTTTGTCACTATAAAATTCCCATTTTGTCCCAATAAAATGACTGATCAGGAGGAAAACTGGGCAGGTGGGCGGGGCCTTTGAAATTTTTTAAGGGTACATTCGACCACTTGACAAAATTAAAATCAGTTTTCATCTAATCAAGAAACCAATGAAATTCAAAAGCGGACGTGGGTGAGGTTAGTTTTACTTTTTGTCTAAATTCCAATGATTATCAGTGTAAAATCCCGTTTATTCAAATAAAATGACTGATCAGAAAGAAACCCGGGTGGGCGGGCGGGGCCATTTTGAATTTTTGTAATCGAGTCCGTTGGCCGACTCTCTACTTTTATGTTTTCTCGACCTTTTATGACCCCTGAGCACGAAGAAATAGGTCTCCCTTCTCCGTCTGTCCGTCTATCTGTCTGCCGTCACTGTCTACCGATTTTGTATAATTAATATATCTTAAATTTTATAAAATATTATACTTCCACTCTCTCTCTCTCTCTCTCTCTCTCTCTCTCTCTCTGTGTGTGTTTTTTTAATGGTAGAATGCGTTCAAATGCAAAATATTGAATCTCAAAATCGGAAAAGAGGCCTTAAATTAAAGTGCGAAATATGGAGGGCAAATCGTTTATTTCTTCTTTCACAAATTTAAACACATAAAGCACAACAGACCACCCTGGGTGAAAAGAAACTACGCAGCGATGACGGGCAAAGGGTGCAGCCAGCTAGGCGACTTGATTCGTGGCTCCGAAAATGTGGTATTGTAGATAAACACTAACATGAACAATGATGAAATGAAATGAAACGAAAAAACTCCACATTTGGGAGCAGACCCGTCACTCTGCTTGCGCCACACGATTACGATTACAAGGAAGGAAATAAGCAAACTCTAATTATGCCACAGTTTATCAAGAATTTCAAATAACAGAGTATTTATATGATGCATATATGTGTATGAAATAAACACAATAGGCACATATTAAGTACAGTTAAAAAGAAAACAAATAAAAAGAATTCCAATTTAGACTGTAAGAAAATAGTACATTAATAATACAACAAATAATACAAAATAAACAAAATAGAAGTCCCATTTCGAGTCAACGATAATATGAACTTAATTCTTGACAAATTTCGACGTTTTTTCTGTCAAAATAATGTTGAAAATTAGTCTAACTGCCAGAAATGATCTATTTTAAATCTCGAGTGA